TCCCTCAGTATCCATTGGTCACTTTAAAACCTTACCATCTCTATTACAAATTTAAATCACTTTTTGTGTTTGAACTACTACATTTCTCAAGGGACAGTGGTGAAAAAAAGAGACTGGAAATTCTGGAACAGATACTCTGCTGGTGCAAATGGGAGCAGTTCCATCGATTTCAGTACAGAATTTGGTCCTCTATCTTTATGGAAGGGAATGTTTCTAGCTAGCAGAATATAGGAATAGGTGTCTGGTCTCTTGGAGTCTCTTCTTGGGTTAGTATTTGACCTGGGGAGTGTAATCTTATGCATTTCTCAGTTTACCCATCTGTGAAAAGGGGTTTATAATACTTTCCTGGGATGTTATGAGGCTTACTTAATGTTTGTGTACAGTGCTTTGAAACTTTCAAGTGAAAGGTGCTATACAGGAGGGTTATGCTTCCACCCCAGCAAACTCTCCCAAATTGAAGTATTAACCTTCTAGTGTGTGCCAGGTGTTCTGAAAGCAAGTTCGAGCACTTTCCTGAATTGTGGAGCTCTTTCTCTTAATTTCAATTCTGGCACTGAATTCTAGTGTGTTGAGGTTAATTTCCACTACTACCTATGAGTAATGGGAAGTGAGGCACTTATGTGGGTTTACGTTTAATTGGCAAACCCTTCCCCCCCCCGACTATGTGCTGGCCTTGTGTTTGTGGTTGTTTACATGCAATTTGGATTGTTTTTGAATTTCAGTAACCATAAGCTATATGGAAATGCTGCTCTTAGAAATTATATCGTACTTCAGAAAAAAAATGCTTATCCTGGAAAATAGATCTCTCTCTCTCTCTCTCTTTTTTTTAATTTTGTCTTTTTCATGGCTCAGTTGCCACAGTTTGGGAATGTTCTTGAGACGCCCACAGAGACTAGGGATACGATCTTGGATACATGGGCCAAATCTGTATCCCTATGCATAGCCGGGCATAACTGGGCTGTGTGCTCCATAGGGGATAGGTTAGGATAGAATTCTCCTTTTAATCCTGAGGTTGTAATAGGAGCCTTTGCAGTTGCTGTATTGCTTCCTTAGTAATCTATTACGGATTCACTGGTCCTACTCAGGGCCATCCCTAGGGGGGGTGTGGGGCCCGGGGTGGAAGCGATGAATCCGTCACTTATGGGACCGACCCGTCAGTTAGTTCTGGGACTAACCGCTTTGGCCAATAGCACCGGCCTGCGGGGCCCCCAAACCATGGGGCCCGGAGCGGTCGCCTCGATTCGCCATACCCAAGGGACGGCTCTGGTCCTACTCACAGTCTGCTCCTGTACCCAAACCTATTTTCACAGCGGTATAGCTGGAGCTCCTGTTGAGCATAGCTGCATCGTGCTTGACATCTTGTGAGAGCTCACTGCAGCCTTCTCTCTCCTGCATAGGAGAACTGCATTGATTTCATTGCCTTCAGGCTCTTTTGTGACTCTTGCTTGGGCTGGTAGATTTGGCCCATAAGCTTCTCCGATCTTCTGCTTTTGAGGAGGCTTACCAAAAAAGATTGTAAGTGACTCGCTTTACCTACTGCATTTTCCTGAATAGACAGTGTCTTGGTGGGGAAACTTTTGCATTTAAAACATATCTAGTAGCTTTTAAAGTGCTGGTTTTTGCCCTAATTTTGTACTGAAAGGGCATTTTTAAACCATTATTTTTAAAATGTCTTTGGTCCTGTGAAATCTGATTGTTTCTGCTGTTAAATACGTACAGTGAAACCTGTCTTAGAACCCTCTCCAAATAGGTAGCAACCACTTTCAAGTGTCATCTTGCAGCTTCCTATACATTTTTTTTTTTTAATCTTTAGTCTATGGCTGCCTCTATTAAGCAGCTGATCTTTGCTTGTACCCTGCGTTTAATTGTATAGATGTTTTTTTAAATACATCCACACAGAATGTATAAACATAGTGAGCTGCACTAAATTAATGTATTACTTTACTGCGTAACTTAATTCGATGAGCAGGTGCACAGTACTTGTCAAGCAGAAATCTTATTGTGAATGATAAGACTATTTCAGATATTGGAATTAGAAAAGCATTCTTGTGAGATGGTTTTGAAACTCGATTTGGTGCAACATCTCCATTCTGTGTGCTCCAGAATTCCACAATGTGTACGTGCTGAGAATTGACAGTGCTGTTAACGCTACCACTTGAAGGATGCTTTGGTTTCCAACTCTGAAATGACATTGGCAGGCTGCCTTTGGAGAGATTGAACAGCTTGTCTTCTTATCTGGATAAAACAGTTTCACTGGAGGGATGCAAAGGGTCTGTCGTGCTACAGGAACTGTGAAAATACCAGAAAGAATCCTGTATGGCCACTCAGGAAAGGAATACTTGAGTTGCCAATAGCACTGTGACAAGTTCACAGTACAGGAAATGGGGGCATTGAGAGCAATAATTCACTAGCCACTAAACTTGAGAGCCTCAGTTTTTGTTTACCCAGCTCGAGAAACCTTGAATGTGATTTTTAGAAGTGCTGAACAACCACAGCTCCAATTGAAGCCTGACCCATTTGGGACTCCTGAGAGTATCTTTCTTATTCCATCTTCTGCTTTCACTCACTCAGTCCTTGCTTCTGGCCAAAAAGTGCCAGATACAGCTCCCTCTGAAGCCTGTGTGTGATGGTTCTGACTTGGCTGGACTGGTCAGAAGAGAGCAACCAAAATTGCTTCCTAGCTTCTTAGGGCTCTCAACACTTAACACAGGCAAGGGAGAGTAAGACTGAGTCCCTAGTTCGAATCGTATCATTACCCTTCTCAGTGTCGAGAAATACTTTGCTAAACTACTGGAGCAGCCCTCTTTGCCTTTGCCCTTTATAAGGCTTATCACAGTCTCTGTTCTACCGTGATAAAGTGACAGCTGTATTAGGGGTTAACCATTTATTTCCTGTGAAAGTGTAAGACTTCTTAACACTCATTCCTAGTATTTCCCTTGACAAATTGGCTCTGGATGCTCCCACCCTAGATATAGTACAGTATGCAAAATGGCCTGCCCCTTTGTGCCCAACAAGCAAATAATGTGCTGCGCTGGTGCTTTTAGCTTGGAGGGTACTTATTGTACACAAATCCAAGTTTTGTTACAACTATCCTTCTCCTATGATGTGGGTATAGTGTGTTTACTGATAAAATGACCAACTAACTACCTTCTCCAGTATTGGATACTGTCAACTTAGGTAGTATGAAACATACAGTAGTTACGGTGGAAGCAACACTGACAGACGTCATGTCATATCGCTGCAGGTTTCCAAGCTGCTACTTCTGCCTTTGAATATTACATGGCAGCTATTGTATTTCATCCTGCAGAGAAGCTATAGCTGTCATGTTATGATAAATTCATCACTATGAGCTAGATTCTGCCACCCTGACTGGCACGAGATACACCTTACTACTGCTCAAAGTAATCAGTGAAGGGACTCAAGTAGTCCGATACTACTCAAGTGGAAGAACGTGCCCTACAACCTCAGTGCAGATTTAAGTTGGAGGATAGAAGCCCTTGTTTAAACACTTATTTATTGGTAATAATTAGCAAATAGAAACTTCCGAAATATTAAACCAAAAACTTTAAAAACTGGCTACCTTTAATTAGACATCTAAATAACTTGTCCTGATTTCCAGAGGTGCTAAATACTCATTGCCTTTGGTGGAATTTTTAGGCATTCAGCATTTCAGAAAATAGGCACCTAAATAAGTGGACTTACCTGTGTATTTGGTGCTTTACTTTCCCCAGGTTCCAAAATTTAGCCAATACATTCTATTAAAAGAAAAAATCTCCCATAATGATACAATCCCTCTTTCAGATGCAGTTGTGCAAAGAAAGTGTAGGACATTATAATCTTAATTATGGTTAGTTCTAGTAAGGTAAATAATGTCAACTTGTGTGGTTCAGCCGTGCTAAAGCTTTAATATTGTTTAGATTTTAAAAAATATTATGGATATCTTTTTCTTACAGATGCATCCTTTACCTGATTGTGTTTTGGAACACTTAATAAAAGAATGTGATATTTTTATAAATGATTACTTTTGTCTTAAACAATGTACAATTGTAGCAAAAATTTTGAGGTCAGTTGAAAAATGAGAATTTTTTTAACTTAAATTTCACCTCTTTCTCCTCATGCTTTTCACTGATTATTAGTAAAACTTGGAATTAGCAAAACAGTGCAGCTTTGAAAATGGAGAATTGGGAAAAAAGGACACCTACAGATGGAATAGCATTTCCATAAACTGCAGTCTACAAAAAAGGATGACTGAAGTCAGCAGAGGAGTTTGGATCTCTTCAGTATTTAAGCTTGTCACATTTAATTTTAATTGCCTTTGAACAAAGGAGACTTCCTTTTCCAGCTCAACATTTACAGACCTTGGAAAGTCCTTTGCTGATGGCAAAAACGTTAATATGTCTCTTCCCACCCTTCATTCCCACCTCTTTGTGGTCAGTTGGCTGTTCTCATTATTAATGACTGCAACTTGCTTGCCCCCACAAACTGAAATCTGGGAACATTACCATTAAAAAGTACAAAGTAACTTCTCAGATGTGCTGTAAATTCAGGCTTTGATTGTCAGGCTGTAATTTGTGCATTTTGGACATCTGCTTGTGTGAAAAATACACAAATTCTGTTGGGGGTAAAAGTAAGAAATCACCTGTGTTTTATTGATCTGTAAGTGAATTTTAGGTAGAAATGATCCTAAGATGTGAAATTTGGACCTGGATTTTTAGCCCCACTGAAATTTGGGGGATATTAAGATCCAGAGTTTTGATTGGGCCCAGTGACAAAACTTGGAAGTGTTCAGATTTCAACTTCTTTGCTTCCCATTCCCTACCTACTCCAAAAAAACAAACAAATACTCTCAGGGAAAAGTGGAATCTGGAGTTTTGATTTGGTTCCATCTCTAACTCTCAGGATTCAAATTTTTGATCCTTACACAAAATTCCCAGTGATTTTTAAATGGGAGTTTTGCATAAGTAAGGATTACAGGATCAGGCCCTAAAATTGTACGCATAATGGTTAAAAGCATTTTTAATGCTAATGTGACTGTATTGATTATGGGTGAGAGTGAATGCCTCCTTCAGGAAAGATCGCACAGTGAGTTGGTAATTTTAATTGTGGTATGCATAGTAGTTTTCAGCACAATGAGTGGTATGAATGACTAGGCTATTTTCACTAACTTTGACTGCAATATCTCCATAACAGGCTTGAAGAATTTCCATTTCCAAACACCAGCTATTAATATTATACATTATTTTTCCTGACTGCCTCTACAGTTAGTAATATCAGTTAGAAATTGAGGATGTTAATGCAGAATCAACTCGGCTGCAAAACTAGGTTGAATGTAGCAATTGAGAATTTTCCAATTACATTATCTGTACTGGGTAGTCTGTTTGCATAAATAGGTTCTGGATTATTCATTGGATTGATATTGGATACAAGAGCCTTTTTACCTCTGTTATTCATTCGAATCTGTTTTAGGTTGAGAATGGATAAGTTTTAATGCATTTAATTAAGTATGTTTATTTAGAGGCATGTCTGTGGCACACATCACTATCTGAGCCACTCAATAGATATATCAAACGCTACCAAGAAGGTAGCGCTGCCCTCTACCCCCTCCGCCACCCACTTTATAGGAATCGGGACTGGTTAATTCTTTTTGCATTGGCTGTCTTTATTGTGTGATCATTTGAGGAAATTCTGCCTTGAACCAGGTGTGCCTCACAGCAGGTGGTGAGGTTTATGCTCAGACTCATATCCTGCAGCAGTTTGGTCCAAAATCATTGCCCTTGCACAGAGAATGCCCTTCCTTCTACCCTCACAGGAGGAGACCTGGACATCTAATAGCCTGATTCTCCTCTCAGTGATGCTCAGTGCAAATTGAGAGTTAACGCCACTGACTTACCTAGTGTTACACTGGTGTAAAATCAGTATGAAGTGGAGAAATAGCAGGCCCCAGTATGTCCTGGTTGAGGAAATATGGTGGGAAGTAAAGAAACGGAGACCTTCCCTTGGGTAACTTAGCCATAGTCCACTTGAGGTTTAAGTTCAAGATGGTTGGCCATTAGGTGGTTTATTTGAAATAAGTCATAGCTGTCATTTAACTTCCTACCAGACAGATATCCATATACCACTAAAAAGCAAGTTTGTTGCCAGTCTTATAGGAGACAAAGGACTGAATGGGAATAGAGGGGAAAAGTTACCCTCTCCCAACTAAGTAGCTCTTCCAGGAGACTGGTGAGGAACTATGGGGTAGCATGCACTGCCACTGCTTGTCTTGTACCTGTTACACAGCAAACACAGGACTTGCATTTCATGGACTGTCATCCTAGCACCCTTTGAGCATTATATTTTACTCCTGCAAATATGTGCGTCTAGAACCCAATTTAAAGCCTACAGATCAGATACTTTTGCTGCTTATCAGGTAGGAATTGTGGCTCAAATCCTCTGTTCTGACCAGTGGGAGCAGGTAGGCAAAAGTGGCTTTAACCCACCTTTCCTCTCCCTTCAATCTGGGCATGTTTACCTGGTGGGTGCCTGGGCTACGTTAGATCTGCCCCAGGACTACTCTGACTTACACAGCTTCAACAGCTAGGCAGCTGGGGTTTTCAGCAATGTATAGCGGCATCCTAATCATGCCTCCTTTCTGCCCTGTGCCTAGGGCAGGGAGCAGTGATGACCTAGAGCCACCAAAGCAGATCCTGCACCACCTGAGGACCCCCCCCCCCATGGAGGTAGAATTCACAGGGTGTTGGATGTGCTGGCTTTACAGTTGCTCTATCACTGGAGCAGGGTCAAGGATCTTGCCTAGCATCTCTCAAAGTTGGTTTTAAGTCACCTTCTCCATTCTCCTGTATCTTCGATCATAGTCTACTTCAGGTTTCAGGAGGAGGAAGGGAAAGAGTAGGTCAGTGGGTAAAAAAGGCATTCATTGGAGAGCCACAGAGGGAAAAGTCAGAGCCCATAGGATTCCCATCTACTCAGCTGTGTCAATACATTGACATGATGAATCATTGCAGTGGCATCTGCTGGGATGACTCTAGCTAAGAATCCCTCAGGTTTTATTTTTACACTATAAATCAGTTTTCTGAGATTGCCGAGTTACAATACAAAACGTGACACTTTCTTTGGAAAGCTGCAGTGCAAGGAAACAAACTACTTTTGTTTAATGCACATGTAGAACAAACAGGTGGTCGTTTATTTTGGAACTTACACATAAAGAGCATGGAATCTCCTGAGTACTTTGAAATGGAAAAAATTCAGGCCTTTGGTCTCTACTGTGTATGAAGTCTAAATTTTATGGGGGCCATATGCAATTGGGAACATACATTTGCACATACCCAATTTAAGCCCTAGAGTCTTACAGTCAAGATGCCTATCTGAGCATATCTTCATATGTTCACCCAACTTTGAAAAATGGGCCCAGGTTCAATTTTTTTTTTTTTTTTAAGTTTAAACATCCTTGCTACCACATGAAGGTACTAAACATTTGTGGCTTTTTATACAGATCATTGTAATAATATCTCTGTGCTTAGAATTGAAGTGATGTAATAGGAGGAGTAAATATGATGCATTTAAAGGGCCAACTTCTGGTTGTATTGAAGTCATTGGAAATCTTGCAACTGATGAGATCTGTAAGACTGGGCTTTGGCTGAAATTGTTTTCTAAATGCATAACATGATGGGCAGTGTTCCATCGAATACATTTTCTCTTTCTGTTTGGATTGCTTCATGTTTATGTACGTATGGGGGGAGAAAAAATTCTGTGGTTAAAATTGCTGTGTTAGAATAACAGTAAAGACCTGACTGTGGCACAAAAGGAAGGAAATTCAGGATTGACTTTGAGGTCAAACAGAGTAAATTAGATTCCCTTAGACTCACTAGGCCTGCTTACACCCATTCTATATCTATAAAAGGGAAACTAGGTTGGCATAACTCAAGTACTGTAAGCAGTTGGTCATTGGGTTCTCTGCTCACCACTGGGTGGCACCTCCTGTTGCAGTATGGCTGCTTCGTGGCTCAGCCCTCTGGCCAGGTCACTCTATGATTTCCCCTTCTGGGGAAGTCTTTCAGAGTCCTCATGCCCGCTCCCCTGGCTGTGTCATTCCCCAGTGACTCGGGCAGTCTTCCCATTCACTGTACCTACCAATACCACTCTGCAGTGGATGGGAGGGAACCCAGGCCACCCACTACTCTGGGTTCTAGTCCAGGGCCCTACAGTGAGCAGTTAAGGTCTGGGACTTCACCAAACCTACTGCTCTATTTCTTGGACTACTTCCTACTGTGTTGCTTTAAGCTTCTCCATGAGCTTTCCTAGTCAGCACAGTTTCTCCTGGGGCTACTAGGTAAACTCTTCCACATGGGTTCCTATCCCACTTACTTCTCCCTTTCCTCAAGAAGAGAGAGAGTGTAGGCTTCTTCCCTGCTGCCTCGCTGTGTTTCCAGCCTCCTGGCTTTATAGAAGCCCTGCCTGTTCCCTCACAGGTGAGCTTCCAGCTAATGTAGTGCTTTCCACACAGCCTAAATCTCCTTCTCTTTGCAGCTCCATTGGCTGATTGGGCCCAGCTGGCCTAATTCAACTCTCTCTGGGCCGGTGTGGGGAGCACAACCCATTTTATAGATGTAAATTAAAATACCCCCAACCGTACTTTAATTTATATCTTCTGGCTCCTCTGATAGACTCCTTTATACATCAGTGGAGTGAATGTAAGTAGTACTAAGGGATCTTAAGTCAGTGTGTAAGGTTCAAACTTGCATCACCTCTGAATTTAGGCCTCAAGTGCATTATTCACCTTATTTCTCCTTGGTTTTCTGGTGTCTACTGCATAATACTAATCATGGAAGAATCTACAATACTTAAATACAATGGATGAGTCCATGACACAGCTGTAAGTGAATTTCTTTGCTCATCATTATTTTGGTGGCTTCCTGTTCTGTAGCTATGTAACTGTTCTCCATTTTTCAAACTTGTTCGTACACTTCCGTTCTAATTTAGGTTTTTTTGTGTGTGTTTGTTTTTTGGACAGATTTACCAAATATCAGACCGAGGCTATATGGACTAGTGACTCCGATCAGCACCAGTGCAGATGGAAGCTTTATCTCCAATATTCTCTCCGCAAATCACCAAAGAAGATTAACAAGGGATGTGTCCCAAAGCCCCAAACAACTGTATTTTAACATCACAGCTTTTGGAAGGGAATTCCATCTCAGGCTGAGGCCTAACACGCATCTGGTGGCTCCAGAGGCTGTAGTGGAATGGTATGAAGACTCGGTGGAAACTGGAAATGGAACTGAGGCTGGTAACGAAAGTCAGACTAGAAGCGCAACAGAGCGGATATGGAAAAAAGAGCCTCTGTGGACCAATTGTGCATATGTTGGAGACATCACTGATATTCCGGGAGCATCCGTTGCTATTAGCAACTGCGATGGTCTGGTAAGATTTATTCCATGGCAGATATGTTTGGATCTTTATCCCTTTTCCACAAAGCTTTAGTTACTGTTAAGTATCCAACAGTTATGATATAATTTGGTTAACTTCATTTTCCAAAATCCATTAGAAATTGCAAACTTGTTTTATGTGGAGTCATTGGGCCTCAAGGCGGAATACCTCCATTGCTGGACTTATCCCTTATTGACATCACCGTAGGAGAGAGACAAATCAAACCCGCTAGTGTTGTATTTTGGTTTTTGTGATATGTTAAGTTATCATTAGCAGTTTTATAGTCAGTGAGCTTACAAAAATATAAATAAATAGATATCCAAGTCCAATATTACTGTGCATATTTTTGAGATGCAGCAAATTCACACACTGAACCCCCAAAATAACAATGTCAGTTTAAAAATAGTCAGGCATGTTTCTTTAGAAAAAAAAAATAGACCCCTGTTTTTCTATACTATTCTAACTCTTTAAAAGCATCAGTTGGATCACAATACTTATAGGTGATGTGTCCTGAAGGTACTTTGGCATGGTTATTATGTTAGACTAAAGTATGTCAAAAAGAACAGGAGTACTTGTGGCATCTTAGAGACTAACACATTTATTAGAGCATAAGCTTTCGTGGGCTACAGCGCACTTCTTTGGATGCATATAGAGTGGAACATATATTGAGGAGATATATATACACACATACAGAGAGCATGAACAGGTGGGAGTTGTCTTGCTCTCTGTTTGTGTGTATATATATCTCCTCAATATATGTTCCACTCTATATGCATCCGAAGAAGTGGGCTGTAGCCCACGAAAACTTATGCTCTAATAAATGTGTTAGTCTCTAAGGTGCCACAAGTACTCCTGTTCTTTTTGCGGATACAGACTAACACGGCTGCTACTCTGAAACCTGTAAAGTATGTCAGTGTAGATTCAGCAGCGTTATCTGTAAAGGTTGGACATGTAGTCACTGCATATGCAGTTCATTAACTCCGTTCATGTGGCAAAGAAAGCTAATAATACTTATTGCTTCTACTACTTAGAGTACAACGTAACATAAACATAATTGCAACTTCCTGGAAGATTAATATAGAGCTTTTATATACTGTTCTTCAAGAGAGAAATGGTATGAGCAGGCCTGCAACACCAGATGTCCCTTCTTTGAAAGAGCTTCCCATCTTGGATGCCAGACACGTAAATGATTTGATCCCATTCTGCCTTAGGTACTAGCCAGCTATGCTCCTCTGTTTCTGGAATGCAACGTGAAGTTGTGCATAGTTTATTGCATAGGAAACCCCTCACTGGGTTAATGAACTTTTGTTAATTTAAAGAAAGGAAATATTCATAATTGACGTTTGTTTATAGCTGATATGATCAATTGGTGGTGGTGTTTTTTTTTTTTTTTAATCCAGTTTGGTAATAGTATGCATAACTTACAAAGATACATGCAGACTTTCGAGCCAAGTGTGTGTTTCCATATAAGCATTGGCTATAGTGCTCTCATTATAAATGAGCCGCTCGAGGCTGGGAGCTATGTGTTATCAGTAACGCTTCAAGACAATAAATTGGATTAGACTTAGTTAGATTTAGGTGTGTGGCTGCACAGGCAAAGAGAGTAGGGTGACCAGATGTCCCGATTTTATAGGGACAGTCCCGATATTTGGGGCTTTTTCTTATATAGGCGCCAATTACCCCCCACCGCCTGTCCCGATTTTTTTCACACTTGCTGTCTGGTCACCCTAAAAGAGAGACGTGTTGCTGAAAAGATGCCCTTGCCAAGTGTTGAGTTAATTGGAATGGAGTAGTTGCTGTCCTTACTAACCTCCACTTGCATAAGCAGAGGAAGGCAGGTAACGTGGGGTCCTAAATGAAAAATTAGGAGGCTAATGGTTTTGTGGCATGATCTCGCCGTTTCCCACAGACTCCAGGAAACCTCCTCCTAAAGTGTTTGTTTTTTTGTGGTTTTGGGGGGATGGGCCAAGAAGAAATGCTCTGAATGGTATTTAGCCTTCTAGGTAACCTAGGGAGGGGAGTGGATAACTGCACCTAAAGTGCCACCGCTTGGAGCAGTACTAACTCAGGCCACATGCCTGCATCTCTCTCTCTCCCTGGGATCCTGTAGAGGGGTGAGTGGCCTGCCAAGGTGGGGCTGGTCAGAGATTCCCACTGAGCAGACACCTTCAGTATCTACCTTTGGGATCCTGGAAAGCTATGTAATAGGGAGTCCATATGTTCTGATGCTTCTGTAGTCCTCCTTCCTAAACTCATTCCTCGGGAGTGGGGAAATTCAAGTGAACTCTGCAAAATTCCTTTTCTGGGCCCGCTCAGAAACCCTTCCCACGTATGTCTATGTGGGATGGCACAGTTTGGTCCATGTTGTGAATATAGGGGCAAATCCTTTTTCCATTGGGGTCAATGGAATTTTGCCATAGAGTTTAATGGGATTAAAATTAGGCCCTACAGGCTATAGTATTCAATCCATGTTTGAAATCTGACTGAGAAAGTAGTTTTTAGCTTTCGAATACAGAACTGAAATATGAAGCCCTGAAGGCCTTCATTGAGACATTCCAGTAAAGCAGGTGGTGAAGTGTGGATTAATTCATTACATAAATCTGTGGGTGTTCAGACTTTATTACTAGTAACTAATAAAAAAAAATCTAATTATAGTATAAAAAATGGAGGGCAATGCTAATTCAGTATAGAACAGGGGAATTGTATCCCTGATGTGAGGTACATGCTGCACAGAGCAGGTGAAAGTAACTATTTCTACTCTGCTTCCTTGTTGTTATCCCTTTTTTGACCCCCCCCCCATTTTGATAATTTGTCAGAACTGGCTCACATTCCCCTCGGCTTGCCTCATTTGCTTGTGCTGTCTATTAAAACCCTCAGGGACCAGATCCTGGCCTCCCCACCAGCTGTTTTGCTCTACTCTACAAAGCAGGCTTCACCAGCTACCTAGGGACTCCCTCTGTGTAAGGGGAATCTCTGGGTATCTTAGGGTCAGTATAGTTGCTTTGCCACTCCCAGTCCCTGGCCTCCAGAAAGGAGTTATCACTTAGGGCAGGGGCAGGCAAACTTTTTGGCCTGAGGGCTGCATCGGTTAGGGGAGGCTGTGCCTGGCCCCTGCCCCCTATCCGACCCCTCCCCCACCCGGGACCCCAGCCCCATCTACCCCCCCATTCCCTGTCCCCTGACCACCCCCGGAACCCCCACCCCAACTGCCCCCCACCGCCCTATCCAACCCCTCTTCTCATTCCTGACTGCCCCCCCGGGACCCCTGCCCCATCCAACCCCCCCTTCTCCCTGACCGCTCCCAGAAGCCCTGCCCCCATTCAACCCCCTCATTCCCTGCCCTCTGACCGCCCCGTCCCCTATCCACACCCCGCCCCCCTGACCATCACCCCGAGCTCCCCTGCCCTTGATCCAACCCCACCTGCCCCCTTACTGCGCTGCCTGGAGCACCGGTGGCTGGTGGTGCTACAGCTGCACCGCTCAGAGCACCAGGACAGGCAGCGGCGCTGCCTGGCTGGAGCCAGCCACGCCACCACGCAGCACAGAGCACCAGGTCAGGCCGGGCTCTGCAGCTGCGTTGCCCTGCCGCCCAGAGCATTGTGCGGAGCGCTGAGGCTGCAGGTGAGGGGAACAGCGGGGAAGGGGCCGGGGGTAGCCTCCCAGGGCAGGAGGACGGGGTCCGGGCAGGAGGGTCTTGCGGGCCGGATGTGGACTGTGGGCTGTAGTTCGCCCACCTCTGGCTTAGGAGGAAAAAAATAAATCACTGTGGTAACAATTCACTGACTGTGTAGCTTATAAGGTAAGTTTGATATCATGAGTAACTAGAATGGAATACATGGCTTGCTACCAGTCAATGAACGTCCTGGCAAATGTTTGTTTTGTGAGTAAGTAATCTGAAATAAGGAGGTTTTTAATAAAAACTTCAATATAAATTGTAAGATACCTGCTGGTAGTTGGGCACGTTCTGTATTTCATTAAATTGTACTTGTATATACATTACTAGAATTTATATTGGCTTATTACCAGGTTTCGGAGTTGGCAGTAAGGTTGTATTGCTGTCGAGAAAATAATGTGGCCAAATTGTGCTCTGTTACATTGACATCAATGTATAGAGAACTCTGGATTTAAACTGGTGAACTGAAAGCAGAACTTTGCCTCTGGACTTCTCCTGCGTCTGAATTTGCATTTTAAAAAAACTGACAAATTATCAGAATTCTTTCTGTACAAAATTGTTTATTTAGCTATCATTGCATAAAAGTTAAGATATTAACAGCTTGTTTTTAACATTGCAAGGAAAAGTCTTGTGTACAAATCTATGTAATATCTCTTAAAGGTAATCCTTTTTTTTTTGTTTGTTTTTGTTTTTTTTGTTTTTTGGTTCCCAAAAATGCATGTATAACCAGTAATTTTAGGGAAAAAAACACCTGAGTAATAGTAGAAGCTGTCACATTTTTTCTATGACCATATTTAAAAGTTATATTTTATAATTCTATGTTTGTGAATGGCTGGCTAGTACTATGAAACATGAGCATTTAATGGGGAATCTGTAACTTGTAAAGCCTGTTGACATGAAAATGGAATTTCTGAGTGATTTTAAAGGAAATGAGATGTGGTTAGAAGGGAAAATGGATCCACAATACTGCTCAACACTAGTTTTGCTACACAATGCAGGGTTGAGGTCTTGTTTTTGGAAACATAGTTTCCTTAAGTTTTGAGGGTATATTCCCTATGTTGCTTCAATCACTGTGGCAAACTGTAGTATTCATAGTTTGTCAAATACTGTTGTCAGAGTTACAACAAAGCTTATAACTGTGTTTTACTTACCAAGGGATTTCACAGTGCAAAGTAAATCTTTTCAGATTTTGCATAGTAGCATGGAGCCCCATTTTGCCTTGATCTATACCTCATGCAACCCTATTGAATTTAGTGGGGTTGTCTGGGGATACAAGTCCAGGCAGAATTTGGCCTGCAGATCCTCATGTATAGCTAACACT